ATTTTAATTCTGTTAGCTTTCACTTTATACATTTTGTAGCTATATTTTTAGATGCATACAAATTAATTTTCTCTTCAGTGAGTGGCTATTTTTAATCATTAATGAGGTATCCCTTGCTCTTAATGTTTTTCACCTTAAATTTCATTTTGTCTATTATATATTTTTCTATCCCCTCTTTTTCTTTTAATTACATAGTGTTATGATGTTTTATGTGTTTCATTTCTTTTTTTCCTTTGGTACCAGAGATTGAACCCAGAGGCACTTTACACTGAGCCATATCCTCAGTCCTTTTTTTATGACTTTTTTAAATCACTGAGGCTGGCTTTGAACTCATGATCCTTCTGCCTCAACTTCCCAAGTCACTGGGATTACAGGTGTATACCACCTTTTATGTATGTATCTTAATAGGCAACATATAGTAGAACATATCATATTTAATCTGAGTGTCTCTATTTTAAAAAAAAAGGTTTTTTAATGGGGCTGGGGCTGTGGCTCAGTAGTAGAGCACTCACCTGGCATGCGTGAGGCACTGGGCTCAATCCTCAGCACTACATAAAAATAAAATAAAGGCATTGTGTCCAGCTACAAATATATATATATATATATATATATATATATGAAGTTTTTAAAATTCATTTAAATTTATTGTAACTATTAATATATTATTTTGCTTTTTATGGTTACTCTGTATTCTTTGTTGTCTTATTTTATGTGACATTATCTAAGGGCATTGATTTTTCAAGTTGACTTCATTTTCACCTATGACTTGGAGCAGGGACCATATTATTGCTGTCCTTAGGCTGATGACACCCTTTTCAATTCCCCACTTTCCATAGCTACCAGTTCTAACTCTGTGCCATACCCAAAATGTATAACTCAGATTCGTATCCTCTTAGGCCTTATGAACTACATCTTGTCTATTTGTCTCTTTGAGTGACTAGTCTTTAAATCATAATTGCAATTTGGGATATTTCTTTGTTTCTTGCTTTCAAATGAAACTATAGATTCAAACTTTAAATATCAGGCATTGTTATATGTCTAGAATGTGTGATTTTATGTGTGTGTTGATGGGATGTTAGATTACTTTCTACATAAGCCAAGATTTTGTTCTTAAACTGAAGAGCAAGCCTGTGATGTTAACCACCAGATTCTACTGCCTCTGAGTGGTGTTTTTCTTCTTAGGCCTTCCAATATCACCCTTGATGCTTCTGTGCATTTTATAATAGAGAGCTAGAGTCCATGACATACTCTGTCCATGCAATAGATATATCTGTCACACTTGACATTATCAACTATGAAAATTTAGTTAGCAAATTAAATATAATTTATTTATTTTCCAAGTGAGCCAACTATTTACTTCATTAGCTAACAGTTTATTTCTCAGTTCAGGACCTTAATAAATGAAGATGCTATTTATTTATTTTAGTTTTATACCACCTTTTAAGGGACACCAGGAAATCAAACAGATCATTTCTTCATATGGACACAAGGCTCAAAATTTAAAGAAGGGGCTGTGGCTGTGGCTGTGGCTGTAGCTCAGTGGTAGGGTGCTTGCCTAGCATGTGTGAGGCCCTGGGTTCCATCCTCAGAACGACATAAAAATAAACAAATAAAATAAAGGCATTCTCTCCATCTACAACTACACTTTTTTAATTTAAAGAAGAAATTAAAACATGTTCCTTAAATTTAAGTGTAAGCAGGACCCTGAAGATGTGCTGATTATTTTTCCTGATGCAGACATTCTGCTTTGAATAATATATTTAGAAGGGTGAAGATCAACACCTGTTCCTCAAGTGGCTCTGTCTTGGACAGGAACCTTTGCCACAGTCTGTATAAATACACATATTGTGATTACATTGTCAAACTTTATTGGGAACTTTTTGAGGTGTGAGGACAATGAATCATTCTGGGAATTTCTCATGGATTGTCACCCAGATGTCTGCCATCCACGTTGCCAGTTATTTCTTTGCGCATTCATTTTTATTAAGACAGTCTTCAGATGGCCCACTAATGTTGTGGCATTTGAGGATTCTCTACCAAATATAGTGCTTGGACTAGATGATCTCTTACAAAGATCCCTCCCAATCTGGCATTTTATGGGCTCAAATTTCATTGCCAGCTTCCATGATTGAAAATAGCTATCACATGTCAGTGCTCATGTTTCTTGCTACTCCAGGACTTAACACAAAGCTATTTGTCAGTAGTGAACCCTCCAGTGCCCCAGGGATTCTGTAAGGAAAAGGAAGGAAACTAATATTAAGTTATCACAGTGTATTGTATTACCTTAGCTAAAGTTTATTGCCTATAAAGGAGGCGCTATTATTATTGTTTTTGAGATCATTTAATTGACTTTTCAGATATTGGAGATGAGATTGGAATTAATTTTTTTTCTGATTATACAAACTTGTCACAATGCAAGTAGCTTTGCCTATTCATACATCATTCATTCATCATATATTTATAGAGCACCTATGACATGCCAGATGGGCACTGTGGACACAAGTTTTTTTGTTCTTCATCATGGCTCATTTACAGCATGAAACTATCTGGAATATGGTAGACCACAGGACAGTGAGCATCCTCATGGCTATAGTAATATTCAAAACTTATGACTTGATTTCAAAGATCCCAGAGAGCCATAGTATATTCTGGTTAACTGGTTATCACTGCTCAGGAAAGGGACTAAACTATTTGGGGGGCAGATACTAGGGAATGAACTCAGGGGCACTCAGCCATGGAGCCACATCCTTAGTCTATTTTGTGTTTTACTTAGAGACAGGGTCTCACTGAGTTGCTTAGCACCTTGCTGTTGCTGAGGCTGGGTTTGAACTCACAATCCGCGTGCCTGAGCCTCCTGGGCTGCTAAAATTTTTTTAATACTGGAGATTAAATCCAGTGGCACTCTACTACTCATCTGCATACCAAGCCATTCTTATTTTTATTTTGAGATAGGGTCTAGGTTACTGAGGCTGGCCTCAAACGCTTGCCTCAGCCTTCTGAGTAGCTGAATTACAGGAATGTGTCACTGTTCCAAGCTCAGACTAATCTTTGATCTGATCATGTTGTTAGGACCACAAAAAGATCCCCTCTCATTTGAGCAAAATTTCTGGCAAAGTGGTGTGAGAGGAACTTAAACCTTCTCACCTATATAGGCTCTAAAACAACTCTATTGAGGTTTATTTACCATAAAATTCATCTATCTTAAGTATATAATGCAATGTCTTCTCTAATATATACAGAATTGTGTAAGCATTACGATGATTAAATTTTTGAACATTATCATCACCCTAAAAATAAATTACATAAACATCAGCAGTCATTCCCTATTCCTGTCCTCCCAGACCCAGGAAACTACTAATCTACTTGGTGTCTCTGTGGAATTTCCTCATCTGAACATTTCACATAAATATAGTAATGTAACATATAATACATATTGACTGACTTTTTTATTTAACATAAGTGTTTTCACCATTTATCCACGTTGTAGCATGTATCAATATTTCATTTCTATTCATGGACAAAAAAGTCCATTGTTTGAATATAGCATATTTTATTTCTCTATTCTTCAGTTGGTGGACATTAGGGTCATTTCCACCTATTGTGAATAATGCTTTTGTGATCATTTGTACACAAGTTTTTGTTTGAATACCCATTTTTCAATTTTGGAGATATATATGTATATGTGTGTGTGTATATATATA